ATATCTTTAGCTCTCAAAATAAGTAAAACAGCGCAAATTTAAAATTTCTTTTCAAAAGTTCTGAGAAGGAATCAAATTACTGGAAAAATTCAACCGAGTTAATTTCCTAATTAAATATGATGAGAATGGATGGGTTACTTTTAATGTATTTTCCGCTAAAGCAACTGCAATAACAAGAATGATATGTACTGAGATCTTCAATCACTACTCAAATGTTTCATTATTAGCTGGTGCACTCAAAATTTCACGTTCCCGCTGAGATACGTATTGTTCACTTGAATTAAAATCAAGAATATTAACACCGTATAATGGAGGAGTGATTTAAAGTGTTTAGTCTCATTTCATATTCGTTTTTTTTTTTATATCCTGTAAACCACGAATATATTATCGAACAACGACGTGTCGAACACCTGAAACAGAGGAAAGATCAATTGGTAAGATCAAAAGAATGCGCTTACTAAAAACTTCAAAACAGTTGTTTTGTCAAATAATCGTCGGTAGACTTAGAGTAGGAGTTATTGAAAACTATTTTAGAAGAAACCACATTATGTTGTTAAACAATATCAAGAACTAAAAAATTGAAAGTTAACCTAAAATATGGAATTTTAAATTAAAAATGGAAATTTCAAATTTTAATCAAAAAGGAAATCCGAATATTTCCAGCTGAAAGCTTCCAATTTTATTTCAATGGTAAACTCCATTGTAATTAAATTCCTTTGCATAATTTTGATGGAAAAAATTCAATTTCTCATTCTGAATTCAACTTTTCACTTCATTTTTTTCATTTCCTATTATTCCGTAAAAATGTTTGAAAATAAAACGATAATTCAACAAGGGTATCGTTTACTAATATTAAAAGTAGCAATTCATTGGCCAAAAGATGTTGGCTTCATCATCAGAAACACAAGTAACTTATAATAGTAAGGAAAATAATTCAAAGGAAGTAACATGATGAAATGAAGATAGTAGTAAAATCTGAAATGTAGATGACATCCTGAAACTTTTACTTAATAAAAGTGGAAAAGATGATTTCGAGTGAAAGTTACAAAACTTTCCTCTGTTAAATTTCGAGGCGTTCCTCCTATTGAACTGCCAAATTTATCATAATTTTCAAAAGAATGTTTCCAGAATTTTCATAATTCATGAAAATGTTCTGAAGAAGAGATTCTCAAAAGGATTTGCTGTAAGTGAAATTAACGCTGACGCCAAATACATTTGAATATAAAGGCTTGCGGAATAAGGGCCATTCCGGATCCAGCCGAAAAAAAATGTGATTATCTGTCTAAATTATGGTTAGGCTCCTAAAAAAGCTCGCGAATTCTCCCAGTTACTTTGCTCATTTGAAACAATAACAATATATAATCTCCGGATTGTATGATCGATCTTTGTTCTTGTACAAGACAATATAATTGTAAGTAGCATCACGTATAGATAATTATTGGAAAAGGACAGTTTGGTAGGGTAAAAGTTACCAAACAAAAATCGATTACAATGTTTTAGTGTGGAAATAAACTCACGTTAATTAATTAGATTTTAATGAGATTATCACAATCTTTGATGAATAAAACTGTCTTGTGATATGTGGTGGAGTGATTTCACTTCTTTCGTGAGATATTTTCGAAGGTTAAGCTGTGTGATAATTTGACAAATTTTCATGTTTTCAAAAATTTAAGATTATCAAAGTACGATTATAAAATGTTGAATATTTGAAGTACGATTTATAGTTCGTAGGGTAGTAAGTTTGCTTTTTCCTTGAAGATAAACGATAAACTTCCGGTTTGTCATATACGTTGAAATTTGTGTCATTTCACTTTCCCGCCAAACAACAAGAGGCTTGTAGATTCATTTTCATATGGAATATTCATGATAATGACAATTTTAAGGTCCGAAGACTTTACAATTCATAAAGATTGCCCTCGGTTTCCCACAAAATTTACAGTAAGTTGCTTAATTGAATCTAATTTTAGTGAAATTTCATTGAGCAATCTACTATAGCAATTAAAATATTTCGCTTTCCGTGAATCATTTAGACAAGCATCCAGTGTCACCGTTGGATGGAAGAATTATCAAATAAACTTCAGTCAAATTCTATCGATCCAATATCGATTCTTTATCAAAGTAATGATCACTGAATAATAAAGTATATGAATAGTTTGGTGAAAATTTAAGTATCATTTGCAACGATTTCAATTTTTGGCTATTTTCTTAAATAAATTTCAACAAGCTTTATGGCAATGAAAATTACCTTATTAGAGATCTCGATTATTTGTCATGAATGAATCAACAAAATCTTTGAGAAATTTCTGTAAGAATTGGCAATCTCCACCTATCAATCAGATTATCGATTACTTGTAGGATTTTGTTTACGGATTGTTTGATCCATTTGCCGAATTTACATCATCGGTTGATTAACAGAATTATTTCGAAACTTGGAACAGTTCTATAAATTGATCGGTAGTATGAATTCGATAAATGCTCTCAATTTCAGGTAAAAGTTTTAACAGTGTCGTGCAGTTCCACACATCGCAATATGTCTACAACATATTTTATACTGAAAGATTCCATTTGTCACCAAATTGGTCGAGCAATAAGAATTTACATTTCGAGTGTTTAACAAATTGACTATCGGAAAATAACTGAAACTTCACGGCTATTTAAATTCAATCGACATTTCGGATGAAAACGAAATTCAAGTTCCTCTTTGTGATCTCGTCAACTGAGCTCTACATATTTAATTAAGTTAATTTTGCGCTTTTCTGTGCAATACTTAAAAGCTAAAGTTAATTCTACAGTGAGGACGACTTGAAATGTTTAGATAATGCAGTGATTAAAAGAAGCATTGATTAATCTAATTATTAGTGCTTGTATTCTGCTTGTTCAATTTCCTGTTTGAATGCATAATTGTTAAGATTGTTTTATGGATTGCAACCGGAAATGAAGGAAGAAACAGGTTTTCTGGATAATAAGAAGTACGAAATGATTTCTCACCTAATCTGAAAGTAAAACTCTTACCGCTTCCGCAAATAAGAAAGAAAGATTCTCGAATATTTCCCACAAAATTTCCCCGAATCATTTATTGTTGGTTAAATCAAACCTCATGGATTCAATTGTATTGGTAATAGTCCAACCTGGTTCTGAGAAATTCCAGAACTCAGGTTACATGTAATCACATGGAATCATCGTTCATGCAAACGGTATGAACAGTTTCACTTCAGTTAACATTCTTACATCAAAAATTATTTGGATAGAATATTGTAATTAGCCTGTGTTGCACGTCTTGCATGGCATGCTAATTATAAATTAGTTGCTTAAAATTGAACTTTATCGAGACTGCATGCAAACAAACTTCTTCCCTCAATCTTTCTACATTGATATTTGGATGTAAATCAATTGCGCATACATCCCCACTTATAAACTGAATCAATAAATCATTAATTGTAGGCTCCGAAAGCTGCTCCCACTTCATTTTACTTCTCTTGGCCATTTTTCAACAAGCAACTTATGAGATGAGGAAATTTGCATATATTGCTTTTCGGGAATGATGAGCATATCCAACTATGTCTCACTTCACTTCGGAACATTTGTTCATCTTTATTCAATCTATAAGCAAAGCTACCAATAGATCAAACTAATTAAGAAGCGGAAGAGGAAGGATGGGTTATGTGGAAGTGTGGCTTTTGTTCAACTTAGATGTTAACTTCTTCAGATAGGTGACAATGAAACTTTCAGAACTCAGTAATACTTTGCTTCAAATTACTTCAAATAGATATTTCGTTATTTATTATTCAAAATGATTAATCATTCTTACACCTGTGCTGGCATCGTTTTAATCTAGATATGGTCTTGCATTAATTAATCAAAATGCTTAACATACCAGCCATCATCAAATCATTCCGTTTAACTAATTTGTTTATTGAATTGTCAATGACCCAGTCTACTTGATATTAATGATAAGCAAACAACATTATCAAATTTAATGAAATTACTAAAATTTATAGATTACATATTATGTGAAAGATGTATTTTTATCGTATTTTTCACATTTCTACCTTGTAAATATTTTATGTAAACCATTTAATTTAGCTTAAAAAAAAGAAAAAAATTGTTAGAAATAATCGAACAAACATTGACAAATTTTACAGTTAAAAATTTGTTAAATTCAATAAAAATTAGTTTCGTATAATTCGAAAAATTATAAAATTTGCTTCATAGCTTGTTGGATGTTTCATTTGTTGATAATAAAAATGCAAATCAGATCTTACAATAATCCATGATCGCTCATTTAACTTTATTTTTAATTTTCATTTATTGCTTACATTTTGTCTTCCACTATTTGTTTCATTTTTCAAGCTTATTTATTCAAAATAAACAAATAAATGACAATGAGTAAATAAATTGGAAGAAATTATTGATAAGATTTGTTTCATCAAAATCTTCTCGTTGGCATTTGTATAACATTTCATTTTATAAATCTCGAAACATTCATTTACACCAATTTTTATTACCTTACTTCCATTTTCAGTAACTACAACAACTAATTTGTCGTCACTTTTATCTTCCACTATCTGGACTCAAGGGACAATTTTGAACTAAGCTTATCTACTATAAGTTTTTTATTATCCATTTTCAATAATCACTTCAATAAGTGTCTCTTTTCGTATCTTAACAGTTAGGAATGTATAATATTTACACTAATAATACATTTTTTTAATTAACCAAAATTTGAAATGTTGCACTGTTGCTTCTGTAAGTTACAGTATGTGAATGACACTTAACAAAGTATAAAACCTTTGATTATATGCAGTAAAAGCCAATCCTAAACAGGCCCGTAGTGGTAGTCTTAATGAACCCTGTAGTAGAAGTCAGTCCTAAGCAGGCCTGTGGTAAAAATTACTCCCTAATAGAAATTATTCTTATTTGTTGGAACTAAATGTTTTATTTATTTGATATTAACAGAGAAGAAAATGAAGTTGAAATAATCTGAAAAAAAAAAAAGTAAGAAGAATGTCGAAAAATGGAAGAAAATGCAGGAAGAAAGAGAAAATGATTCGGACGGCGATAAGTGTGAATTTTCATAGGAAACTTGAAATTTGAAAATGAAAAAAAGGATGCAATCCTTTGGAAAATTGAATAATTCTTACAAATAGCATTACTGATTTCAAAAAAGAAAAAAGAACAGAAAAAAAAGAAGCAATTCAGGTATGTTTTAATCAAAAAAAGAAAAGATGCTCTAGTAATTTCCTGACTGGTTTCCTTCAATCATAAACTATCTCCAAATGTTTACCGTTACCAAATAAGCAAAGATTTTTTCAGATAAACATAGCAAAATACATATCAGTATAATTTAATTTCAATCGTCAACAAAAGAAAATTTAATTAGTTTTGTTCGGTATTTGTCAATAAAAACGATTTACAGAGTTTCTAAGGTTTCGAAATGTGAATAGTTTAAATTTGATGTCCACAGTATTTTTAGTAATCACAAAATTCCGTGACTTAAATCAATAAATATTTGCCAAGCAAGGGGTACATAAATGGGTAATTAAAAAAGCTGTAAACTAGGAGTGAAATGAAGTGAAGTGTTGTGATTGTGTATGAAAATGCCTGTAGGCCTTAGGTCGATGGGTGTGGAAGGAACTAAAATGTTGGAAGGGGGAAAGTGTCTGATCCGGTTTTACAGTAACTTTCATCAAGTCAGTAATAAATCAGTGATTGAATGGTCTCACAATCAGATTACCGATACTCATTCGTCCTTTCTACGCCTATTAACATGTCAATGGTATTATACCCTATCAAATATTATTTTCTCGCAAATTTTACAATTCTGTCATTTTTGCCAATCTTTTTTCAACAGTTATTGTTCTCAGTGATAGATGAATGAGTTATTTTCCGTAAAGTTACTAACGGAATTGACTTAAAACACGTTTTGATGTGTGATTGGGAATGGTAACCACTAAGATTAATATTATCATCTTAATCTATAAAATTAGAATTTTCGGGAGGATTTAAATCTTCTACTTTTAGTTCGCTTATTTTATTATAATAATTGAAGTTGTATTCAGTTCACTTTCTTTGTTTCTATAACAGAATGCTTTTGATTATTTGATTTTTTTCAAATCGTTTTAAGTTAAAATTGAAAATTTCATTATTACAGATGCAGAAGAAGGAAAATTTGCTGTAATAATACCTTGTAGAAGTTATGTTTTAATGATTTAATTTTAAATGTATCCAAAATGATTGGTAAAAAAAAAGGAAAAACAATAAGAAGGAATTGTATCAATCGATAGTAGTTTTTTAGCAAGGAAAGTTCGGTAGGATTAACAATTGTAAGAGCCGACAATAATCCTGATTTAGACAAATCCGGATACTGTAAAGCAAACTTCTCATGGAAATGAAACCATCATTTGCTTTTTTTCTTCTTCCTTGGATAAAATGACGATTTTACCGATTATTCAAATTTTTAATATCAAAATTTTATTCGAAATTGAACAAAAAAGAAGTCATTTCATTCTTTCCCTACTTGATGATATTGTTGAGGCAAATCAACTAATTAGTTATGCAAGTTTGTTCAACTAATTAATTATGCAAATCTAAAGATCATTTCTTCAATTTCACTGATAGCAATAATTTTGCTTCTCTAGTTCCTCAAAAAAAGAAGCAAAAAATGTGTAGTTAGGAAGGCGACTTCCGTGATTGCTTCGGTGTTTACGTATATTTCGTTTTGCCCCTCCCAATAAAAAAAAAAAATTTGAATAAACGAATTTTCGTAAATAAATTTTCGCAAATCGGTCATTTCATTTAATGAAAACAGCTAGCCAACTTGTAATTTAATTTTTGTTAAAAAAATCTAACTTTTGAATGTTTAAGGAAAAGTCGCAAATCATCATTTTCTAAATTTAAAGTTTATCATTTTCTTTAAATTGTCCAATTCCATTTTAAAATTCAAAATTTGCCGAATTTTTCTTAGATATGGCAAGAATGAAATAAATCGCTAATAAACTCCAGTGTACATTTTCGATGGAGCGTTAATAAACTCTAACGTACATTTTTCATCTTCAATTATTTCTTCAGGTATTTATTGTTCAGAGGAAGTGTTGGCAGACCCCCTACTGCTGTAGCAATTTACATTGGATCGCAAGGGACAAGGTGTTGTCATCCAGGTATAGCCCATCTTTTTCGACACCTTTCCTTTTTCCCATTCGTTTGCTATTATTTCTTACAGGCGGTTTTTTTTTTTTTTCAGTGATTTATCTGACAAATATTACAGCTTGCAAAGCTTTGAAATGTTCAATCTGAATCACATGGCGCAACTGTCGTCCACTCAATGACCATTATCTTGTTTTTTTTTTTTTTTTTTTTTAATTATGATAATTTAATACTAACTGATAGCTTTACTTTACAACACTTGCGAGCGAGTACGTTTTCATGCATAATTAAATCCCTAATTAGAAGGGCTATAATTAAAACATTCAATTCAGTCTTATTTCAATTAGAATTTATTTTTAGTATATTAAAAATCACATTTTCCCAGAATTACAACCGTTGTAATTTCTTAACACAAATTTCTTGTTAAATTTTTTAGTCTGTCATTTTTTTTCTTTCATTCTTTTCATTTTGAAAATATGGCGCTATTGTCATGTGATACGACAATATTAGAAATTTGGATAATCGATCGACAGTCAGTCTGTAACTTCCAGAGAATGATTTCTTAAAATTTGTTGAAAATACTGCTTATCAGGCGACAATGTTTTAAACAACAGAAACGACAATTTAATGATCTTTCGTAGCAGAGAAAAAGGTATTCAAAATATTAAATTCAATATTATTCATTCCTTTTAATACAATTATTAATGTCAGGTTGTAAGAAATTTTAAAAATGAATTATGAAAATTCAATTTTTCATTCATATTAAAGGAAGGAAGGAAGGATTCTTTCTGTGACATTTGTATTTTAATTAAAAAAAAAAAAGAAAAACGTTCTCTGATTCAAAGTTACATTTAAACTAAAAGTGTATTTTTCTTTCAGAGTAATTCTATTTATCAATCATCGAATATTTCTGAAAATTCAATCGTATTAAGCAACTTTTTTGCAAATTGCATAATTTTAAAATACGAAATTTCCAGCAACTTCACAAGTGCATATATTTTTGTCAACATGAAATATTGGCAGTATGTATCCCGGATCCGGAATACTGAAAAATATGGAATGACGCAAGGACATCATCCACTTATAAAATGTTGATTGCACTTACTCCTAGAAGTACTCTTCATCTCCAAGTGCGCAATTCATAATGTACCCCATTGTACAAATACCGCTGAGCACTGAAGTGGATTAATGGAAGCTTTCTGTCGGTTTGGCGCTAATGGAACTGTAACTGTTTATGATGCCAAAAATGAATTGAAAAACAAATCCATAAGAATAATTTTTTTTTAAAAAAAGAAAAGCTTTTTGAAATTTGTCAATCGATTGAAGAGCTCTTTTAGAAAAAAAAATTCCGAGTTTTGTTGTAGTCACTTCAAAATTATGCTAAAAAAAGAATCGAATCAGATTCGAGAAACAATTACCTTTATACAATTACGTTTCAATTACGTTTATATTTTATCTCAAACCTCCCCCTCTCTCTCTCTCTCTCTCTCTCTCTCTCTCT